CATGAAAATGATGTAGAACAGAGATGCCAGTAAGGTGGGGCCTAATGAGTAGTGGGCCTAGAGCAGTGGTGTGCAGGTGTTTGATAAAACATCTGAGGTGTGGCCATTTGGATCTGCCATTGGCATCCATATGGCTTGTGACTGACATAGTGCATCCAGCAGACCCTTATATGTAAAGGCATCTTGTTCTATGGAGAGTTTTCAGGGCAATGTTCAGAATCAGGTTGCTATGGTCAAGGGACCAAGCTCTGTGGGATAGAAGCATGGTTGGTGCATTGTCCTAGGACCCTGACCCACCACACGTGACAGAACTTCCTCCAGCACTGTGTCCCTGTTGAACTTCTTGAATTTCGTGAAGGAAATACGAAACTTCCAGTGCAGCAGCAAGAAACACCAAGAAAAGTGGAGGATGACCAAATGGTTTCACAGTCCCCACAGAAAGACACTTAGCCCCCAGTTTCCACAGTTTACCTACAAAGAGAGAATTCAGTACTTCTGCCTCATGTCCATTGGAAAATCAGAAACCATGTCCTCCAGGTCACTTAGATGCAGATTCGGCTTTGATGGTCTCACTACAAAGGAAGCTAAAGCTCCTGACAACAAAATATATTTCAAGAGCCCAAACTCAGAGGCAGTTTCTCCAGAAGTCTTTAGGCCAGCAGAGCTCCATGTTTGTGAAGTGTTTATCCTATCCATTACTTATGGAAACTCCTCTACCACCTCCAAAGTTGGGAACTCCTGAGCATTTTTCATTCAACATTTGTATTCAAAGATTTTCTAACCCTTCTCCTGGAATTGTGTCTTACTTGGGGCGAGGGTAATGTCAAGGCATTTTTCTGATGACAGTGGGAAGATTTTTCAGTAGCAAATATTTGCATACACATTAAATTCATTTTCCTATTTTCCATTCCAAATAATGAATCCCTGACACAAATTCATACCCTACTAGACTGTGACTACGAATCCTAATATGATGAAGAAAAATAACCGAAACACAATAAAAATACAAGCAGTTCAGAGGATGCATGTTGTGTAGTTGGACAGGCCTTTTTCATTATAAAGGGTAGGTGTTATGAATCTAGTCCAATGTAATAGTTCTCCATGTGTTTTTAAAGTTAACAAATATGTGAATTCCTGTCTCCCTTTCTCTGTAGCCTATTCAGCACATGTATTTTTACATGCACATATAGAATCTACCTGGTTTTCCAACTACATTCTTGTGAGGTGGCTGACATGGCAGATAAAAACTGTGAAAAAAGATCACTCCTCCTAAATGCTGTTGGATGTGAAAATCAAACAGTGGGTGAGCTTTCTACTTGAACAACATGATACATAAATCCATGTTCACTAAAATAAATATTTTTGGATCTGTGGATGATATATATTTCAAAATGAATTTCAATTGGCATATATATTTCTACTTTTTAATGTGTCTGTGAGTGTGTTTTGTGTGTACATATATATATTTATATATACACACACACACACTCTCCAGATTTTTCAAAATATAAAATATATGTGTCTTATTTTACACTCCCTAAATTCATGTTCATGTATGTGGATTTATAATCAACTTTTCACAATATAATTCTCAGAAATATTCATCCACCTGAAATGCAAATCTGTTTCCTAGTATTGAAAACGAACTTCAGTGAATGGTGCATAGAAATCCTAACATTTCTACAGTAACTGACCCTCTTTAACATCAATGCAAGTAGACTTCTATGGGAAATGATGTGTATTTTGACATTCGTTTATATTCAACACTGCTACATTACTATTTCTTCAGTTGATGCACATCATAGAATATATATTTCTTCCTCAAGTTCACAAATTTCTAGGCATTTGGTTCACTTTCAATCAAATCCTGCTTCAGAACACATATATTCCTCCATGTTTCTTGACTGGTCTTTTCATGAGACTTTTTTCAAAACACATTATTTTGGATTTCCATAATCACTTTGGAACC